CCTTCCCACAGCAAATCCTTCCTCCCCGTGCTCAACAAACCCCCCCAGACCACCCCTTTCCACCCCACGTGGGTCACTCTGCACTGTCACAGCCAGTTATTCATTCCCATATTTGATAACCTGGGAGGACCCAGAGCTGCAGGTGACCAGCAAAAAACAGGTTGTCAGCTGCCAGTCACACTTCTGAAGGCTAAAACCAGTTAATCTCTTGTTAGCTGGAGATTTGTTAACACCTCCAGAACACGTGTAGATAAAGCAGAGAACAGATAAGATAAAAGCTGAGCAAGGGGGGGGAAAGGAAAGATATCTCCATATCATGGGAACTCGGGGAATTCTCCTTGTTAGTGTGAAGGAAAGAGAAAGGAAAGAAGATGGATTAGATGGTCACTTACAGGAACTTTTTGTTCTCTCCCTTTTGTCTCAGACACACAACTAACTCAGGGGTTAGGAAGCAGATTTGTTGTGCTGGGAACTGTCAGCCCTGTGTTCACCTTCCTCAAGCTCTGACTGATCCGTGCTGGGCTGTTCCATCCCACAGGAACCCTTCAAGGTTAGTGGAAAAACAACAGATCTCAAAGACTGGGATGAACTGTTCCATTTCTACATCATAAGCTCCAGGATTTTCTCTCCCCCCAAAACCATGGAACTCGTTTTCCACCCCTTCGTTCTCCTCCTGATTTTTTTCCAACAGCTTTTCCCATCGTGGATTCGACGACAGCCAGTTCCTGATTGTTCTTTTTTTTTTTGCCACAAGAATTTACTCTTAAAAATCTGTTTTAAAGGAGCTCAGAACCTTCCTTGGTTCTCTGATATCTCCCCAGGTTAACCAAGTGCACTGACAGATTCCTAAGGGACAAGTTTTTACTGAATTTAGGAATATAAAACAAGAATTACCCCCCACACCTGATACCAAAGCAGCCCTGCTGCAACGACCCAGAACTTCACACACTTGGCTGAGACCTAAAACTGCTCCAACCCCTCCAAAATGGACATTTAAACCAGATTTTGACCCATCTGAACGTGCACAGAACTTTCACTCCTCCATCCCACCCCTCCCAGCACCCCCCAGCAGTGCCTGCTCAGGGGGGGCCTCCCTCAAAGGTCACAAAAGCACCTCAAAGGTCACAAAAGCACCTCAAAGGTCACAAAAGCACCTTTGGTGCTGTTTTTTAAGAACAAATGCCATGTTTTTCCCACTGGAGTGTCCCCATTTACACCCCATGTGCAGGAACAGAAACAGGAACAGAAACAACCTCCAAAACACAACCTAACACTGAAAACTGTTTCTTCTCTCTCAAGTCTCCAGAGCTGTGTTATTTTGCCTCTAAAAGTGATTAAAGTGAGATGTCCAAATTATTTCAGGGATGGGGAACAGCACAAGGCACTTGATTACAATTCCAAATAAACACATTTGTCTACAACTGAACACAGGAAGCGCCTCCCCCCAAAATTCCAGAGTTTTATGTGGGTTTTTTTCCCTGAAATCACACCAGCATGTGACTGAGTTATGTGACTGAGTTTTGCCTCCGTTCAGACCCACAAAACACAAAGGTTTAACCTGGCCAGGTGACCCCAACCCCAGTGTCCACCCAGCCAAACCCAAACCCTCTGTGAGACCTGCAGGGTTTTCAGAACAGACTCTTTAAGGCAGGATTTTGGGGCAGGTGCTGGTGGGAATAACTGAGAGCAAAGCCCAGACTTGGAGGTTGGGCTTGATGAGATCTCAGAGATATTTTCTTTTCCAACCTTAGTGACTCTGTGATTCCGTGGCAGAGCTGTCACCAAGAGACACAGGCATTCCTAAATTTCTCATATTTGAGCCAGAGCAACTCCAGCAACCCTCAGTGACCTTTATCAGCCCGTCCCACCTGCCCAGATATCTGGGATGGAGCCTCGTGGAAGTGGCACAGCCAACCATGCAAATCAAAGCCACCAGGAGAAAGCAGCAGATAACACTCTGGGCTCCTTCTGCTGAGGAAAAAAAGCACCATTTCCTGGTGGCATCTTCCCTGGAATCAGCACTTTTGGAGCTGGAACATTCCCTGTGGGAGCAGCAGGAGAGCAGAAGGCCGTGGGAGATGGAGGTTAATAAGGGTTGGCAACTCAGAGCCCGCTGGGCACGGGGCACAGGGAGGGAGCTGGGGGCACCAGGGGGGTGGGGATGGGGAGGATCTGGGCCACTGGCACCATCTACACCAGGACAGCTTGGCAGCTCCTGGGCTGAGCTGCCTCCCAGCTCTGGGGTTAATCCCCAGGATGGGATCAGCACTGACAGGATGCTGAGCTGGGGTTGATCCCCAGGATGGGATCAGTAGGGCACAGGATGCTGAGCTGCCTCCCAGCTCCAGGGTTGATCCCTAGGATGGGATCCCCATGGCACAGGATGCTGAGCTGGCAGCTCTGGAGCTGCTCTGGGACTGATCCCCAGGATGGAATCAGCACAGCACAGGATGCTGAGCTGGGATTGATCCCCAGGATGGGATCAGCTCTGCACAGGATGCTGAGCTGGCAGCTCTGGAGCTGCTCTGGGGTTGATCCCCAGGATGGGATCAGCAGGGCACAGGATGCTGAGCTGAGATTG